ATCTATGATTGATCATGTTGATTTATTGTGATATATTTAGAATCTAAGCTTTTTAACTGCATGTTCACTCGAAACGAGAAGATTCATGAAAACTCGAGACGAATGACATTAATGTAATTATAAATACATACAGTGATACACTTTAATCTTGTATGATTTATGTTAGTATGAACATTATGATTTGATGGAATATATAAATTATTTTTTGAGGGAACGTAGAAACGAAGAACTACTGAGAAATTCAATTAATCCTCAGTCTTATCGTGTAGTACTTGTGTAACGTAAATAGGAAAAGTCGGCAGTACAAAACATGTACATGTAAAGCTCTTTCTAGTGCGCCGTCTCTCATTTCTGAATGCAATACGCAATTTCGTTAAAACTACTGAAAACAACGGACATGTGTTCCTTTCTTCGTGAATAATCTGTTTTTTTCGAAACGTTCTTCGTGACCACGTACATGGTACAGTACATGTATGAAAATGAAAAATATTATAGTTCCATTCAGTAGAAATGTTTTCTAATATGATTTGTGTATATGACACTCATTTTGCATTGTGCAATAAGGTATCATGTGATTGCCAGAATACAATCAACATCCTGATGCTTGCAATTTCTGAATGTTTTATTTGATACATTTGTACTCATTTACTTCTCTTTCCGTCACATTTCCTATTACTATAGATATATAATACACTCTGTATATAATACTATTGCTAGTAGCAATAATAATAAAATTGCATAAAAATTTGTAATGGTTTACCATTTTTCTGTTGAAATAAAACATCGTTATACTAGGGATTTTTTACTTATTTTCATGATTCCATACGAATGAAACTACACCGCCAGGAATTACTATAGGTGTAATAAAAAAATCACTATACCAATTGTAAGGGTTAAACTTGAAGGACGAGTTAAGTCGCCTTTTGTAGTTAAAAGGTTAAGATACGAGTGCACGGTGGAAAATAAATTGGCACGTGCATAATATACTAATTCCTTTATTTTGATTGAAGTCAACATGAACTCCAATGAACACGGATTAATAGAATCTACAAGGTAAAATAAGATACTTGTAATCTGTTATTTTATCGGGTTTGGTTATTTTAGTGTTAAACTGCATCGATCATTCGGATGACAATTGTTCCCGTAATTTGTAAACGTGCTACCGCCGACGGTACGTGTTTAACATTCGAATATAAATTACTAATTAATTAACTGGAGGTCGATGTGTGCTTCTTGCCAGTTAAACGAGCTATTAATTTATTTGATTGCACTATTGTGACGATTATACTTCTGTACAGATCGTTCAAGGTACAGAATATATTTGAGAAGTGTGTTTCGATTTCTTTTTGAAATTATGTTCGGTCTATACTCGAAATCGAACAACTTACTTAATATCTTAGCGATCAGCGGTATATATTTGAGTTGTCCAACACTTTATATCTTGCACAAAGAAAATTCAAATACTTTCATGTGTATTTTTCCATGAAATGTGTATAGCGTAACGCAACGAAAGTTGACGAAAGATTTTTCTTGAATTTTATTATCATTTCATAAAGACATTATTTTCATTTCTATAGTTTATTTTTTAACTATAATCGATACAACTACATACTTTGTCGTTAATAATTTATTGGAAAAAGAGCAACTTTTACACTTATTCTATGTCTACGTTTTACAGCCCGGGTTAACGATTAATAATAGAAAAGTAATATTTAATTTATATTAACAAAACAAATAAATAACACCTAGATTACTCAAATTCAACTATAATCTGGTATTTTATTCTACTAATTTATTCCAGAATATGGTGAATCCTCGATTACCCAATTTAATTGAGAGATTGACACTGCTAATGATTGGTAACTGAAGAAAAAATTTTTTAAAGAATATTTGCAAAATTCCATATAATATATTCTGAGATATAATCTAAGAAACTAAATTATTGAATTGGTGGATAACCAAGATTTTGAACGATGTAGGTCGCAAGGAATAATGACTCAGTTAACGCTTTTGCTACTACCGGTTACTATAGTCATCCGCCACAAAACGACACCCGCACAAAACGGGTGACTATAGTCACCGGCCACGATAATAAAACCAAAAGTTAAGACAATGTAAATAATAACAAAAATACGTTCAGGGAAAAATTATAAATACATTGTTATGAACACAAATCATTTCATTTCTAAAAGCGGTGTCACAACGGCGTTTTTAAGACAAAAGGGCCTCGAATACCGAAGACTGTGTTCTTCATGTTCCCACTTTTGGCACGGCGCTTCGTTCTACACGAGGGACTTCGCGGCGAGGCCCGCCATAGCGAAAGGGTTAATCGAAGTTCTGTGTATTTGAAAAGCACTAGAATCTTACTTTATAAATGATATGATTACGATATGAAAGATTGTAATATAATTATAGCTATTGGTATAAAATCAAATATTAAGCTTATCCCGACATTGGATCGCAAAGGATTAAACTATCTTTTTATCGGGGACTACTGTCAATTCCAAAATCATTCCAAGACTTACTTCTCCTCCGAGCGACAGTGGACAAAAAAACTAAATTACGTTGTACCTCGCTGACAATATTCTCTTCGCCGAGGGAACGTGATCGGCTAGCCCGATCCCTCGTTGAAACATTTCGAACCGCTCCTCAAGGAACAATCGATCCTTCAGGAGTACGAGGGGCGAAACTACCCTCTGACTCGACACTATCGACAGCCACGATTTTCTATCATTTCAAAAAAGTATTCGCGATTCCTAGATTAAGTTAATAATCTTTGGTTAGAATATCATTAACAGTTCCGAAATCCTCATGGATATTGTAAATATTTAACACAGCGGTGAGATCGATTCAGAAGGCGCAGAAAATTAGAGCTTGGAAAGCCGAAAAATCTATAATATGAATTTAGCCAACGAATAATTATTGCTATTTCAAGTATTAGCTGAAATGTCATTTACTGATTAATATTAATAATTTTGAACATTACTGATTAATAATTATTAATTACTTAATACAATTAAATTTATTACTCAAGCGATCGTTAGTAGAGTGACCTAACGGTTAGTACTTTTTCTAGTAATACTTCATCTATAAAATGACAGAATATTGACTATACGTAGAAGAACTACTGATAATACTTTTCATATAATAAAATAGAAAATTCCATTATAACAATTATAAATAAATGAAATGAAATGAAAATTTTTTACATCTCCGCATATTGTATCCTTTCAACTCTTTAAAGTTAACAATTTGGTTATATTTTGTGACCGATAAATGTCGTCCAATATTTTACAAATATTTCAGGTCGTAAATCGATTGATACTATATAATTGTTTTAATATAGCATAGAAAATAGTATGGAACTATTAAGAACTGTTCTCTAATATGGAACTAAATGGAATCGAATAACAATGTTTGTGAAATTTTGCGATTGTTTGATGATTGATCGAGTACTTTTCACAGGAAATTTACTTGCGATTCGTTCAAAGTTGCACGACGAATGATTCAACCTTTTACATACGACTGATTAAATCCAAGCACCTGAATATTTAACGAAAGAATAACTTGTTGTACGAACAATGTACACGAACCGCTTTGAAACGAGAATCGTTACTTATTGGTTCACTGATTATTGAACGGCTGATATAAGACATTTCATACAAACATATGTGCGACTAGTTTGATGAACGACGCGTATATCCTTTTACGAGTGTCAAACAACTTTCCGAAGACTCAGGAACGAGTAACGTACGACTTTTAATTAGCTTCATTCTGAAGGAGGAGTGACGTGCCATTTTTCCCTCTCCATGGCGTTGGTGGTGGAAACTGCGCCTTCAGAATGAAGCGCACATGGAGAACTTAATTAAATTTTGGTCGACGTACGACTTGACCGCGCTGAGTTTGCGAGTGTCTCCCAACAGTAAGAGTTTATGACGATATTGTACCAAGAATTAGCGTTAGAAACCGGCGCACTGGGAACCAGAGTCTATCTCGCGAGGACTGACATTGCCAAATAGAAAAATAATTAAAAACAGACGTACAAATTTCAGCGGTAATATAAGTAATAGAATTTCACTTGTACTAAAGTCTAAACGTCTAGAAAGTTGACGAAATTGTTTCTATGAATATTGTGTACATTTTATAAAGACGATTTATGTTGTATTTAAGTAAAACCTTGGGAAATTATTTTAACTTGTGGCTTCATCTCCAAATGGGTTGTGTTTTAAATGATATTAATGCGAATACTAGGTTACTAGAATGATTCTCTCAGCGTACGAAGCTTACAATCGTTCGTGTTTATGCTCTTTGTCCTTATGCAAAGTTATGATTATAGTAATAGTTCTTTTGCTTACAATTCTCTTCCTAAAGCTTTCCCGAGTCAAATAATAACTGTTATGTTGTTGGAAGATCTGCTGAGACTTACTAAAAAATGTATAGCCTATTCGGAGGTAGAGTTGAGATTCGAAACAATTACTAAACATTGCAATTATGAAGAGTAGTAATGAAAGAAATGTTTCTAGCTAACACATTGACACCGTTATTATTTCTTCCCATTATCATTAAAATAAATGAAGTTACCGAATTTCGTTTATAATCTAACAGTTATTTTGTGTGTTGTTCCCTATATTAAACTGTCAATTACCTGTACCACTTTTTGGAAAGTTTAACTTTCCATTATTAGTCATTTAACTGGTTACAGCAGAAATGGGTACCTACAAAAGGTGTCCCATTTTAATGTATAAACGCGAATATCTCCGAAACTATTCGTTATTTCAAACATGTATGTCTCAACTGTAATTTTTATATTTTCATAAGGGAGTAATCTGGTATACTTAACTCGTCTCTAGGTGAACGTATGTGAGAGATATAAAGATCACTACTACTTTGTCAAGTATAGTTACATATCGCTTTCCATCAAACGATACAGTGTTATACAAAGAACTGCTACGTTTCATTCTAAAGATTTTAAAATAACGGATCTATTTCTAAATACTTACAGTAGACAACCATGGACGCGCTCGCGGACTTTTCGTCCTCGAAAGTGGATATGACACACGTGTAGTCGCCGGTAAGATCGATACCAGGCTTGTTCAATTTCATGGCTCGGTGCTTGGTGTACGAATTGTTGCTGGCTTCGTACGTCAGGTCGACGTAGTTGTTGGTGAGCTCACCGGCCATCGGGCTCATCCCGAGTATCCATTGGTAGACCAAGTCGTTTGTGTTGAAAAACCATTTCACGACTAGCCCATCGTGGCGCGTGTTCTCGAGATCGTAGTCGCAGTCCAGTATCACGTAATCTGTGTCGCCGGCCTTCACCGTCGCGGGCACGTTCACGCTTTTTATCACGAGCTGCCAGCATTCTGAAAAAAATAGTAAAAAAGACCATCATAGGTGAGACGAAAGCCAGAAAGAGGGAAAGAGAGATAGATCGTGCGTATACGCGCGTGTGTGTGTGTGGCTTCGTGTGAGTGCGAGCGAGAGAGAGCGAGAGATAGAGAAGAAAAAAAGGAAACTCTGGAGAAAGGAGGGAAATGAAAAAGAAGCTGCGCCCGAGGATCGATCCTCGGGTAGTGGAACGAGCGAAGCCTTTTTTTCTTCCTTCTTCTCCACGGTTTCGCGCGTGCTTCTGCTCGCGCGCGAGCGCAAGAGGAGGTAGATCGCGAAGAACGCGAAGAGCGCGGGCGAAGGAACAGCGCCAGCGCGAAATGAAAAGAGCGTTGAGAGAATTGGGCTCGGCGCTTCTGTGTTGCTGATGCTCGACGGGAAAGAATGGGCCTAGTTTTACGGAGGGATGCGAAGCTACATTCCGCGGATGAGCGATGAGTTATGCTTTTTCTTCCGCAGCAAAATTAGAGGTAAACAGAATCGGATATGAAAACGAGTGGATTGCGCGCACGTTCCTGTCGCTCTATGGATCCTCCGCGAAATGGATTTCCTGTGGAGATTGTGGGAAAATACGACGCATGTCAGGACAAGTTGCGCAACAGGGAGAAAATACACGTGAAAACAATTCGAACAGAAACAACGATATTTCGTCGTTTAGGACGTCGTTTCGAAGAAGATCGAGTTTCAACGATCTCGAGAGTGCAACCACCAGTATTTGCAAGTAACAGAAAAGATAAAAACATATTTTCTATTCTTTTTTAACTTATTTCTGCGTATAAAAGAACGTTTAGCTTTGGATGAATTGTTCTGGCGTATTCTACGTATCTTATGTAATTTGCATGAATCAAAATTGAAAGAGAATTTAATTTAATCTATTAATGATTTTAATATGCTGGCATTTTATGAGAAAAATACTGTGAATTTAATTGTGTTTCATATTTCTTAATGGGTTTATTGCGTTCATGTTTCAGATATAAAACTTTTCATGAAAATAATTAAACTAGATAATTGACTATTATTAGAAATCGTATTAAAAATCGTGTAAACGATGTTTTCTTACTAATAATTGCAAATAGACGTATTACCGTTGCGTCGCATCGCAGTGTTTCATTCCTCGCATTGAAGAGAAGCCTCAGCGCGGGTGAATTTGAAATTCAGTTGCATTAGGGAATATAATTGCTTTGAATTTTAAGCGGTGAAATTCTAGATTGGTTACATCCCCAACCCAAACCATCCTCGTTGATGATTCGCCAATTATTGTACAAATGAACGCATACACCGCATCGATAGGAAACAGTGCATAATAAATGATGTGAAATGGAAATTACTGTTTAACTGCTATGGAGAACGTTATTGTGATATTGTTGTAACAAGATGGTTCCTCAATTATTCATGGTGGGCAGATGTTACCTTTACCGCTTCGCAACAAATTTCCTGCGGACTTATTACCCATTAGTTACCTATGTTATGATTTCCGTAATTAACGAAAAGAGTGTGTCTATATTGTAATAATCTCAAATGAAATTCAATGCCCAAACATATCTACAAATAACGAAGCACAATACGAAGAAACTAAGAACAAAGCTTTCATTTCACGTTGTCATAGAGCAATAGAAAAATATTGGAAAAAATATTTTGCAATTTCATCGACAAGGATACCTAGAAGCCATGTTAGCGTTATCGCGGTACCTCCGAGTAGCCACTCTGTGCGGTCACGATAATTACAGAAACAAAAGATGGGGGGCTGGATTCGCCGGTGATAATTATGAAACATCACCTCGCGAAAGAAACTGGCCGCGTGGCAATAAAAAAAAGGAAAAAAGAATAGGGAAGAAGAAAATTTTCCTCGGTTGTTCTTCACTCTTTCCCGCACCGTCGGCCATCTTTCGGTCAGTATCTTTTTTTGCGGCAAGTAAATGCCGGCAGCGGCCGTGTCTCACTTTTTCGCCCAGATGGAAAGTTTCCGGCGGCACACGGGGTCCGGGAAGCCTCAGTCGCTTTGTCCACGACGAAAGTTGCTGGAAATTTATGAGGCGGGATGTTGGGGCTACGCGAAAATTTTCACTTTTCATTGGCGCTTGCGTGCAAGTACCAACTTATGTACAAGAGATATCTATACGCTGAAATAAACTAGTCGACCGCGAAACTACGTGGGAAATGTTCAGCATCCGCGCTATTGTTAAAACTGTGCATGATCATGCCCTTCGGCCGTAGTCAATCGCGGCCAAATTTCTATTCTAACCTTGTTGACGTGCGCCCACAATGCCCGTGAAATACGATTGGTCTGAGATTTTTTCGGGGATCTTGCAGGAAATATTGCGCGAATTTAAAATGGAGGACGAAGGCTGATGGAAAGTTCGAAGCTGGTAAATGCGACGGAAAATCATACTAGGTTGTACTTTTTTTGAAAATTTGAATTGCACGAAGTTGCGTATTCGGTCATTGATAAATGTGTTTACCTAGCGAAACATGAACAGAAGTAAGTGAAGTAACTACGTTTTTTCTTGAAATACATTACTTTGGAAAGACTTTTAGGATCCAATGTTAGGTAACTTGTTAGCCGATATTAACCTACACTTAACGTGTAGATGTGTGGATGTGTCGCTGATGAAATTATGAAAAGCTTAATGTTTCTTGCAATTTGTTGTTTCTTAATATATTAATATATGATATGAATGTTTCAAAATTACATCGACGAGATCCCGTTTTATTTTCCGCGCGATTGAACCCTACGACGCGCGTTTAAGTTAACTCTGCAGCTTCGAGTATTTCCAGAAGATCTAGTTTTTCCGAATTAATTCGGTAGCCTGCGTTTCCACCTGTCTAATAACTTAGATTCACCTTGTTACCTGCGAACTCTCGGAATTAGGTTCAGCCAGTTTAATCACGTTCACACCAGGGGAATAATTTCTTTAAACGAGATTACTCAGTCACTGGGTATCGAGTACTTATACTCTGAGCTCGAGAATACTTCTTCACAACTCATTTTGAGCTATTTAATATGCTCGACGTTTCTTCCACATTGAATTGGTAAAATCTGATGTTTGTTTTAAACATGTTCTTTTAATCGAAACATATAAAGAGTATAATAAATATCTAATGTAATATTTTTATGAGATGCGAGTATGTAATTTCTAAGTTAAGATGTTATTGGGATTCTTCACTTCGAAGTTTACTTTTAATGGTAAACATGCGAAATAACATTTTTTTAGAAACATTCACGTATTGCACAGGTTTGTTACACACTCGACATTTTCCTTATTTTCGCAGAATTGCGCGTCCCTGTTCAATTTAAACTCATTTTCCCTTTCAGCACTTCCTCCACAAGTTTCCTCTAAATGCATACCCTCATTCTGCATGAGCGCTCACATATTTTTCTCATGTAACTAGTTGGATTCCCTAACGTAACTTAAAACTAACAAGGGAAGATCCTCGGTCGGAAAAATTTAAAAAAATTACAAACTTTAGAAACATATAAAGAATGTTTTCAAAAGTGCTTGAGCATCTAGTAGGGAATTAACGCAAAATTACTATTATAACTACTTGTTATTTCATAGTTTGCATCTACTTCATGTTCATTGATGAATTGGCTAAGATCGATAAATACAACATATAATCAGTCAAATTAAGTAAAAAAAAAAACCTAAATAGTCGAAACGTAGCTCAAGTCGCTGCCAAGTCTCCCTTGAGTTTAGCCTCCTTCTACAATTCAAGTGGAAGCATAGTCTTAATTTATATGCGAATGCACGGCCTAAGATTTAGACACTAAGCATAGCTCACGGGCTAAGTGTCTTGACCTTAGTCTCGATCTCTCACAATTGGCAGTATAGTACTAATAGTTGAGGTGTAGTCAAATTTAAAGCACAAATAAATGCTGGTTCTCTCAGAATAAATAAAACAGGCCTCGTGTAACCTTGTGAGATTAAATAAACAATCTATGTTTAATCCGTTAATTTTAATAAAGAATGTGTTCTACTGAGTACAGAACACGGGATCTAACATAACGGAAGCCTTATTTTTCGGTGACGTTGTTTAAACAATTGACGATATTACACATGGAAACCAACCCCATAGAATCCGACACTCGCTACCGGTCTCCTTTTGATCCGATCTCAATTGGATCAAATATTATTCAATTCTTTATAATGTGTTTCGCATGTGTTCACACTAGTGTTGTAAAAAGCTCAAGTCTTCAAAGCTTTAAGGCTCAATGTTAAATGAAGTCTTTGAGACTTCAGTAGTGAACCTTAAAATTTTAAAAGCTTCATCTGAACTCTGAAAGACTTCAACGTTCAAGTCTCTATTTTTAAAGACTCGAGTTAGTATTAGCAGTACAGTGTTAAGATAGTAACAGACGGCACGATTCTTCGAGCATAAAGATTCGAGCTTTGAAAATTTCAGCTTTTACAGTTTAAGGTTTAAGGTTCGAGCCTTGAGAGTTCGACCTTCTGAGAGTCGCAGCTACCGGTGTCAACATTTCAGACTCAGGACTCATTTTTATTATAGTTTACACTATGAATCCTGGTTCGATTTCAGTTCGATTTTGTTCTAGCTTCATTCATCGACAACCGTTTCGCAGCGCGACTTTCGGAAGGAGATTATAATGCTCTCAATCCTTTGCAACATATTGAGATAAATCAAATATTAAGATTTTCAATTTTCAATACGACAGAGCACAATCTGAGTTGGAAATTTTCTGCATCTCGATGATTAGTACAGAGTTCCCAAATCAAAAGACTGTGGCTCCTGGTTTCAACAGTTATTTTTGGTTAAAGAAGGATTAACATGAATCCAGGTAGTCGAGCGCCACTCGAGCACCATCCGTCTCACCACATCTCACTTCTCAATGTCATCAACTAATCACATTGTCTCAACATCCCATTCAGTTCTGGAAGTCGCTACGAACGTATCCTCACTTCATCTTCCCTCTGGAAAAGGAGTCAAGATCAGTCATTCTTCAGAGGCAGTGAGTATT